TGGACAAAATTGGTTCGCTCAATCACTGTCCCGATACCACTGTGGCTCAATTACGCAATTTCTTATAAGGAACGCCCTCTCGCGACGAAACGTGCTTATGACTTCATAATGGCGTAGATGACAAAGAAATGCAGTTAAAAACAACAGCTGTGTTTGGCTGAGTCGTCATTTATAATATAATACATGTAAACTTCTCAAAAAATATATTATTTATTGAGGAACAATTCCAGACAGATAAAACAATCCGGTCACTCATTTGTACGCCACAGAAGCGATTTGTTGTTATACAACACACACACGCGCGCGCACACACACAAAATTAAACACAAGTTGTCGTTTAGAACGCCAGCGCTTTTCTCCATGTACGTCGTTTTGAAACGCGATAAGAGCGCTTCGTCTCTGAAGCAAGGGCACACCTTGTATGAAATATGCTGTAGTGCAAATGAAACATACACAATATGACATACCTACTAATTGGATTTGACAACGTTATTAAAATCAGAGATTATCAATTAATTTCGTGCCATAAAAATAATTTTATCGCATTCCAGCATACCATACAGTCACGTGTTCACTACCCATGTTGATTTACTCTCAATTTACAAGTGTGTTTGGATAGCCGCAGTTTAGTAAAACATTTGTTGATCTACGCATGCAAATTAAAAAAAAAATATTTGAGTATATTTCAGTGTCTCGAAGTTTGAAATTGTATTCCCATTTTGTATTATATGCAGAACAAAAAAATAAAGTTGTTTTGATAACAACTCTTCAAACATTGGAGCAGTGAAGCTAACCTGCACTTCCACGATATGTAATAACAAGCCAAACATAACTTCATTGTTGTACTCCCTCAAGTTTTCTGCATATCATACAGAGTAGGATTATCGAGCGCTTCTTTGTAAACAGCGACACGCCATGTACATGTGACGATTCGCCCGCTTTTAAAAGTTGAAGATGTAGTACTACTGATCGTAATATTTCCTATGTTTTGTTTTCTGCAGTTGCTTCCGGAAAACTGGTGATAGACAAGGGATGTGCTAATCGAAATGAGTGTGAACTAAACAAAGCAAAAACTGAACTATATTACCAATGTACTCAGTTCCGTACCAAGTGGCAGTGTTATGAGTGCTGCACAGGTGAACTGTGTAACCAGAACGACGCCATGCCAATGCAGGTGTTATCAGTTGTTACCATGGTGACAGGATTATGTTTTTCATTCTTCTGGACTTTATTGTGACCTGCAACTTGTTGAATTGGTGTTTACTCTGAGAAAATGGAGTCAATGCGACGCTACTTGCAAGATTGCGCCTGATTGGCTACTCACCTTGACTTAATGAGTTCAACCAATCAAAGAGCAGCTTGTTTGTTGATAGGTTATTTCGGCGTATCAAATTATGTCTTGTATATACGCTTCGGCGAATGAGCTACTCTGTCGTCACGGTGTTCACTGTCGTCATGCGTTCACGATATACACACATGTTTCAATCTAGACGAATTCGCTATACTACGCATGTCTGTCTCCAAGTGTTGCCATTGGAGGCGTTCTCTAAGAACCTAGAATCAGATTCTGGAATAGATGAATTCTGGTATCATCAACAGTAAGCCCAGTAGATGCCTAGAGAATAACTACGCACTTGTCTGATATCATTGGCATATACAAAAGTGTGGTTATCACATTTCTGCTGACAGTGAATGACTCTTTGATGTATGCTTACCAACGCGTCAAGATTTATATGTACAACCCCGTGATTCAGTTATACCATCCGTTAGTACCTTCCATGGTTATACTTTGCTGGTTCCCAGTGTCCCTTGCGCAATGATGATCTTGTATTTTGTTATGCGGAAGGGTTTTTTATTACAAGTTTTTTACTGACTGACGTAGGTGGGAGATGTAGGAATTGCCGTGTTTTGTGAACTTAATTTATTTTTACCCGGGAGCGGAGCTACGTCACAGCGGAACGTTCTATGTTGCTAAGACAAGCACCACTGTACCATGTATTTCTATGAGCTGCTGTGGAACGCCGATCGAGAAGCCGATGAAAACAGCTAAAGTTGATGAAAACAGCGCAAACTCAACTATGAGACAATTCTGAACAACGAGATTTATATAACACTGTTCAGGAGCCCAAAATACATTTTTTTTTAGAGTTTTCACCGGTTGTGGATGTCAGGCGGTGAAAATTCCCAGATGTTCGCTCCTGAGAATATTAGTGAATAACAGTTTGATTTGTTTCGCAAATTTGATAATTCACGTAACGCCGCTTGTGTTGCGCCATCCTGGTTGGAATATGAAACAATTGACTTAAATAGTCGGTAGAGGGCGCTGTTTTGTAAACATTGACGCAATGATTATTATCGTCAAAGAATGTGCCAAAGGATGTTCACGGATACAGGTTAAAGTTCAAATTCTTGTATTTCAGTTTTTCCAGCTCTTCTACTTTATATATTGTTATGTACTCCACATGAAATTTCTTTTGCAGTTGTTAAAATTGTTTCCACACGTGAATCTATTCATATTAAAGAGAACAGCACCCAGATCCACTATTATAATGTGAAATTAAGTCGGCCACAAACAATAAAACACGTCGACCGACACTTTATAACACACGACCAGTTATAATCGTCTGATACTCTGTCGGCCGTCTACTGTCGGCCATGTAGCTCTTGTTTGTGACGCATTAATAGAGAAGCATCGAGAAACAATCTTAGTTATTCAATAATGTGTCATTACCCAAAACCACTCGCTTGCCATCGCGATAATAGTATATCACACCGACCAATAACCCAGGATCACATGAATGGTTTGACTTCTTCCCGTGATGTTTGAAACAGAAATCTTCATTGAAGATATAATTCTCATTCTGCATTATACTGTAAAACCATTTAATTTTACTGACATTTATTAATTTCACTATTTTAATGTTTTGATCATACTCACTGTGTTATAATTTCACAAATTTGTCAAGGAAACAATGAGTTCTATTGTTATTTTACATGTTCACATAGATTTAATTTAGCAGATTTTACTTATAAGCGAAAATGATATTGAAATTAAAACCCAGTGAATAATTAATGCATTTATGGTACCTACTAAAGTTTTTCCAAAGAGGTATACTTATTCATAAATGTCGCATACCACGAACAATTTGTTTTGGTGAAACAATACACAGTCCCCCAATTACGACATGCCAACACAAGAGGGAACTTTGAAAGTGGTATTATAATTACAACAAATAGCAATACCGTATTGCAGTTTATCACCGCAGAGATTCGACTAAATATGAAATTACACGACCGACTGAACGCAAAAAATAAACAAACATGTTTAAACGTAAGCCGACAGTTGCACCTACACGACCGGTTACATTCGTTCGAGCATGGCGGTAGAAAAGCGATTTTCTACGTCCATGGTTCGAGGCTCTGTCAGCCGACACAGTCGTGTAATTGAACCTTCCGATGTGTGTCCATTGATTATCATTGGGGACACATAAACATAGGTGTTACAAGATGTTATGTTGAACTATGACCCCTCTCATGAATATTCAGTAGCTAGATTACTGCGCATGTATATTCTCTTGTGAGTCAGTAATGGACGCACCATGGTTTGTATTTGTTTACCCACTATACAGAATGAACCCAGTGAGTTACACCGTAAGGTATTCAGTAATTAATTCATGCAAGCAGCATTTGAAGAAATAGGAACAAAGATGGGAACGAGGTAGAAATACATGTATAACATCATGTTCAACCAGCGCCTCCAAATTAACCAATAAACGTTACTCCTGCCAGTGTAAATTCTATCGAAGCACCAACTTGAATTGGTTTTGGCCCGCACTTCAGTCATTGACGTTACATAAAGTGTGTTATCGTAAGAGGGCGCTGGTAGAGACAGTGATAGAGGTCGTTTGCTTGTTTTACTCTTTACACGAGTATTTCAAGTGATGAGTTTTATTTACAAATACCGAGTATGTAGAAGCTTTCTATACTGAACGATTTTGTGACGTAAGTAGTTGCCAGCACATTAACATATTTTCTTTTTTTGCAAGATTCTCTAACATATTCTATATTACAGGCAGATATACGTCAAAACACAGTAGTGACTTTGAATCTTGACGCCAGAGAAGCGCTTAGAGGGCGTTATTTACGTGTACTTTATGTAAACCTAAAACACAAGTTACTTCTAAGAATGTACGAATAATAACATTATATAATGGTTAGTACATTTTGGAAAGAATTCTACCACATTACTTTCCAACAGGAATACTGCTTTTTCGCTTTATATACATACGTCGGCTAGTTGCTCCCCTAGGCCTGTGTTTTGTTTCGCCCTCCAGTGACGGGGCTCTTCTTTTACTTAAAAATGACGCATTCAGGTAAAATGTATTTTAAGACTATAATGAAATCTCTCAAAACCATTATCTTCAGTGACGGACGACTACAGATCAAAACGATAAAGACGTTTCGAACGACTTTTTAATAGACCACTTTCCCGGAAGTCGAAGATGCGTGCGCATCATGCCGTTTTCAAGTTGGGATGTAACGTAAACTTGCACGCGTAATATTGTGTACCAATCGACGTAACAAAAATAAAATTTCCTTCTATCGACTATCAGCCAGCTGACATGTTTGTATTTCCCGCCATGACAAAGCAGGAGTATTATTGCACCCCACTATTTACATAAAAGAACCGCGTTGTCACCAGAGGGCGCGATTTTATTTTCATTCTACAACCATACAAGCTTTCCATGACATGCCAACAGTTTGGCAATTCCTAAGTTGTTGTAAGAGCGTTTTGTTTTTTAAATAAAGAGTACATTTTGAAAAGAATGTTTGAATATATTACTTTCTTTCAGAACTTTATTAAAACACTCTATAATACGCCGCATACTTAATCACGTGACTTCAAAACACCATTAATAAAAAACACGCACACCAGTTAGTTTGGGATATTATTTGTTTATTTTGTAAAATTAATATTTGCGAGTTACACATGCTTGGATTTAAACAAATAATCTTCACTTATTATCTCAAAGGTTTCAAATTAAGAAAAAACAATCGTCATCAACAAACAACGTTCAAAATACAGTATCATAAACAAATTTGATACGATTATACATTTTTGTTAAAAAAAACATTCTATTTATCTACATTCCAGTCGAAAGCTTCAAAACGTGTTTGCTGTGTTAAAAAATCAGGTCTACTAAGTAAAATATGGCGTAACTAAAAGAAACAATACATCTCGCGAGAATTTATGCACTAATTTTAATCTCACGTGATTAAATTGACCCACATTTACAAGCCATTTTTCGTGAAGTCAGTATACATATTTTTTTAATATTTTTTATGGACATGATTTCTAGATGTAAGGAACGTATGTATATATAACGTAAGAAACACAATAAATTTTTAAAAAAGGTCAAACAACCACGAAATTGTTATTATGCATAAGCTCATCATATATCGCATGACCGTATCACATATCGCGCGATAGCCATGAATTATGGGAAACGATTTGAATACAGATCGCATTAGAATCGACAAGAAGCACTGATTATGGTTATCTATAACTTGATAACAACACTGAAAAAAATGTCTACATAAGAAGGAAAGACAACAGAAGTATAAAAATCATTCAAAAGCCAGACACGTGAAGTACGATGTTTGCTACGATAATTGGAAAATGCAAGTTAATTCTTTGTTTACATGTACTATGTCGCACGATTAAAATAACTTTTGGTAAATACGACACTATATGTTTAGAATTTAAATTCAAATCTCGCCCCGCGAAACATCATCTAGTAAACTTCATTAAAACAATTATTCAACTCATAATCTATTTATTATATTTTAATATACCATTTAAGTTGACTTATTTATTTATCACATCCTTAAAATGGGCAAACAAAGAACTCATTCATCATGGCCTAAAACCCCCAACATTCAACAATGGCAGCTGGAGTAGTGACTTTTCAAACAATTTGTTTTCAAAAAATACTAAAATTTGAACTTGAATATTCCTACGATTCATACATAACGCCTACTATCAAACATGTTGGCGGTAAGCTGTCAATATTATTATCATTTCAATACTTCAAATATTATGAGAAAACAGATCTATGTTTTTTCAAAATACAAAATTCCGTGACGGTGATTTGGTCAAGAAGAATTATAACGAACCACCTCAAGCTGCTATTCAACATAAGTGTAGGGTAAAATAAAAATCTATTAATATTCTCGAGACAAGAACAAATCTACACCCCTAAGAGACAACAAAGAACATAGTCTCGTAACTATGACGACTGCCCATCAGTAGAGATTAACTACGCCATTGTAAATTTACAATTAAGCTGTTGTTTCCTTGTGTGTTGACGATTCAAGATCATCAGTTTCGTCCACGTATTGGGTGTTATCGTCATCCAGTGGTTCCTTGTAATCCGTGGTCGGTCTGTAACGAAACAGCAACACAGTACAGTCAGCTGGTGTGCACATGATACAATATAATAAATACAACAACTATAAAGCGCACGCGCGGGAATTGAGTCCCAAGCGACGATAACACAAGCTAAAACGCAAAGGCTCATGGGTAGACGCTTGTTTGTAAACAATGATGCACTACGGCCATCTAACGCACGCGCAGGTGACGACTCCCCGCTTTAACCATTACGGGCATGGCCATCTTGAATCCGCCATATTACCATTTGTACGCCATAAACATCGAATGATTTGTTTTCGAACTTCAATTTCACTTTTTATATAGTTCAATGCTGAAATGCCTATTTTTGGCGTTAAGATTTCCCTACTTCACCAACATTAACCATCATCAAAAATGTATAGAACATTAAGCGTGGACAAAAAACACATTGTTTCGCATTTGTCGAATCTCATGCGATGTTTTTGATGCCACTAAGACGCTACGACCTTTGCTGGTTCTGTTTTTACGTTCGATTTCACGCATAACGCGGGATCTCACAGTGAGCGGAAAATGGTTTATTACATTACGATTGTTGTATAAAGTAGACACTATGGTGCAGCCGATGACATTACAAGCATATGAATGAGTTGCGCATGCGTGAGTTGCGATTAAATTGAAACCTTGGTCCAAGTGATATTATAATTGTCAATGTTCGATATAATATGACCTAAAGTAAACATATCGAGACAAGTACATCGCTAAATCAGTTGTATGCAATTCTATTTTTTTAATCGACATATGTTACCGCAAAAAATTGCGAAGTAAAATGTTACTGATTTTTCATGCAGTTTCCTCCGACAATTTTGCAGCGAACGAACAAATTTCAACATTTTTGTCTGGTTTCAAGCAAATCATTCAGAAAGCCTTATAGTTATTTTTGAAGATAGCAAGAAGTTATTCAGTTGATCAGAACTTTGTGAAAGTGTGCGTTAATGTACGTGTTACTACTCACATTTCTTCGGGGTACCCCTTCTCGTCGCTGTATCCACCCTGCTCATTTTTCTTTGAACGACGATGTAACACGTAGACCACAATAAGCACGATGACTACGAAAATAACTACCACTGCGACGGCCAGGATGATTTCCCCTACAGTTGGAAGGTTGACTGTTGAAAGAGAAAGAGAAATAATAATAATTTTTGACAATATCTCATTTGCTTGAAAATATACTCAAAGTTGATTGGCCCGTTTAACTTTGACACGTGTCTTGATTAGAACCAAAACTATGGAAATGCAAAAAAGTGGCCATTTTGTCGCTAGGTATAGGTGCAACGATACGTGCTTTTCTTATGACGGCCCCAAAAGAATGGGCTCAGACAAAGCAGTGTATACACCATTCGTGTACAAGTCATACCGTCGACAGTGTCGATACGTCATAGTGACGTCACAGAATCGCTTCGTCGCTGGAGGGCGCTAACTACTCACCATAACATTCATTCCTATGTCCAGTCCATACGCCATTCTGACAAGTCCTGAAGTCAGGGCCATATAATATATATGGTGGATCGCATATTGGGTATACAGTACTTGCGTAGTCCCACTCGTAACCACCGTGATACAAGGTATTCAGAGGAGGGCATCCAAAGTCTGTGGTGAAGAAAATTAAAAACTCAGTGTTTCTGTGCTTGATAGCATATTCATTCGGGGTGATCTGCGTGCTATTGAATGTATTTTACGTGTGGAACCCTTTCACCGCAATTAACAATCCGGCTAGAGTCATCTTCCGCAAAGTAGTCTTTGATACATTTCAATTAAAATATGCAATCGTACGTTTTACAAATTATAGATAAGTTGAGAAAAAGTCGTGAAAAATCACACTAATAATCAGCGAAATAAAGTCTTGCGTTAATATTATCACACCAACTTTATTTATAGAATAACATCATGAGAAATTCCGAGGCGATGGCAGAATGGAAAAAAATGCATAGAAAAAAATCAATATCAATAACTGAAAAATAAAAAAACTGCATGCCCATCTTAGAAAAAACAATCGAATTTATCAGTGAAAAAGTAGAACAAAACTGAGTGAAAGAAAAATAATGTGTTGCCATCCGTCGCTAGTACACTGTTAATTTAGTGTAAACAATGGTTCCCTATGATTCCACAGTGCAATCAGATCTGTCGTGTTTGGGAATGTGTTAGATCCTCACCTATGCAGTCGTTGTGTTGTTCAATACCAGTCCATCGACCAATGAGACCCATATCTTCATCCTTTTCCTCGCACAGTCTGACGTAATTTCCGATCAGTGTATACGGGTAGTCACAAGTGAAATGAGCTTTGGAATCAACCATGTTGTGTGAAACGTACGGCCAGATGAATTCTTTCGTTCCGTTGATAGGAGTTCGCATATACTCACATACGGTTTCTGAGGTGGAATAACAACACATATGAACACGTGCTTCCTTGTTTTGTCTTTTGAGATGTACAATGGCAATCGGCACGCGTGTTCCCAACGTTTAGCGTCCTTAATACATCATGATATGACATGGCTTCATCCATATTGCATATTTTATATTGAAATATGGTGGTAATACAAATTAGAATATTAATATTTCGACATCGTGGTGATTCAAAATAGAATATAAGTATTTTGACATTGTGGTAATAAAAAACAACAACAGGCGTACCTTTGAACGTGTCATTAGCAAAGCTCCAGTGTATGTCGTACGCAGATTTGGTGGCAGTACCATACGTCAAACTTCCGGTAGTCTTTACGTCATACTCACAGTACTTGTTACCTACAAAACACTTTCTGTTGTTAGTAAATTCGAAAACAAAAACGAGGCGCCACCCAGGCTCGCAGATATATTCGATTTAAACAATTTCCGAACTAATGTGCAACACAGAGACAGGAACTATTTTAGTGTTTTAGTCTCGAATATAACCTCGCCTTAGTTTCAGTACACGTGATTATTTATCATATTCAATATATCGCAAATATAGTATGTTGTATATATGAGTCAGTTTTACTAAGGATGTATAAGATAAGGGCATGCCACTGACATAACCATGTACGGTGATATGCGATAAAGAGCGCACGAAACGCGAGTTAAGTTTGAAGCGATCCCATTCCGCGCGCGTAAATCGATTGTTTTTCTACCAATGGCGTCAAAGAACACAGTGCATGAAAATGTTCGATTGCGAAAACAGAAGTGAGAAGATTATCGCCGCATTCAAAAAAAAAAAAAAAAAAAATCTTTGGAAATCAGCACGGAAACACCAAAATGGTCTGAGGTGAACACGAACCGATTCTTCCACATGCGCCAGAGATTCGAGAAAAAGGTAGGTTTCTCCACAGTCCCGGCCCTCTATCGATAGAGGGACTGTGATTTCTCTTATGATTTTGTGATCGTCTCGCAATTCGTGTGATTTATTCAAATCATGCGGGATCTTCATCGTATATCACACCCTTACATACCCTAATTTTACAAATTCTTGGTTTCGCATAATCAGATGGTCACAATGTTCGTAACGCACAATGGCAATATTACAGCGAAGAAACATATGTGGTAGCTTACCGTCGCAGACAATGTCCATATTCTCACGAACATCTGGTGCCAGTGTGCTCTCATCGGGTGGCTCGAAGTCAGGAACAAAATCGTCGTCCTGGTATGTACTGTGTGAACGACCAGTATGGTAATGAAACATAGACGGATTGACCTCCCCTGAAAATATGATACAGTCAATTAGATCATGGATTCAGTGTATTTATGTCTGAGTAGGTCATCATATCCACCATTTTATTTTTGTCGTGTAGCTGTAGCTCGTACCTAAACTAATCTTTTATTTAACGTTGAATAAGTTCACACGAGAAGGAAGCAAGGTACCTACATGATTGACCGAAATCGTCAAATATAGTTTGATCATCTGCATTCGGGCTGGTGACGGAGCCATCTTTAGCCGTGAGATCATTTGACCGATCATAATCATAGTTACCCAACAAACCTACCAGATCTGGAAAAGCGGCATCCTTTAGAAGAAAAAGCATAAACAGTTAGAACATCGTCCTTATCCACATAATCAGCAGCAATAATTAGTATATATGCTAATATTTCCAACAGCGTAATCACTGTTATACCCAGATAACGATTTGTACACAAACCTGTAACGTTAATTGATGTAATTACGTGGATATTGTTTTGTTTTGATCTCTCCAGAGATAGCATTAACTTTCCGGACCCCCCATATAAGAGAGGGATGCACTTGAGTACAAAAAGATTTTTGTACACAGAATGCATGCAAGTTTTTTCACTAACGTAATCCCTGGGCCTCTTGTTAATAAAGAATGCATGTTGTCTGATTCGCTATAAACTATGTGACGACTACAGTACCAAAAAAGAGTTTTGAATTACAGCGACATTGGTTATACCCATCCGCAGCGTTATGACGTCACAGAAGTGGCTCGTCACTAGAGGGCGCCACTGATGGAAAGGTGCATTGTAAGAGAATTCGGATTTGACTCCTCACCCCAATCTGCTGTATTCGCCCCATCCACGTTGTTTCTATTAATCACATCGCTCATAGTCTACACAGTACCGTAACTAAGTACTGTAAAGGGGGTAATTATTCACTGGGTTTTAATTTAGCTTATTTCGCTGACTGGAAAAATGCGCTAAATTAAAACACAGTGAATATGTAAAATTTAGCATAGAACACATTATCTAAATGACGAAACCGTGAATTTAAAACCCACTGAATATGCCTGAAATGGTAAATCAGTGAAATTTAAACCCAGTGAAAATTAGTCACTTTACAGTAACTAACTGAATTATGGGTACGTACCTTGAAAGTAGGTGGCAGAGAAACTATGCACGCCATCACTTGAGCATTATGCGACTGGCATTTGATACCCACACCAGATTCGAATCGGACGTACACCTCGGTAATATTGGGATTGATAGGGTTCAATGGCGTAGTTGGGTCAATACGATCAGGAGTATACACAGATACATCTAGGAGAATAATATAATGATAATTAGAATCCTTGTTAGAAACAAGACAACGTCATGTTCGCGCGGTATCCACCATCTGAGTGCCATCATTTTTCCCACCGACATTTTTTAATATAGATCCTAATCATAAGTTTTGAAAGAAATATTGACAATATAATGGACATTTAAATAATTGGTAATCTAAATGCATTGTAAAGTTTTTAAACATCGAGAAAATAGTCATTTTAATGGGATTTCATCTTACCTTCAAAATCTACTCGAGTTATATCATCGTCAAAATCAATCAGCCGAGAGTTAACGCCAACTTCTAAATTTCTCCGTTGACTGACCTCTATCTGGACGGTGTCGGATTTCCCCTCTTTTACCACCAGGGCGGTCAATTCTGTGGCTTGCATAGGCATACCTGGAACGTAAACACAAATATAGTGTAGTTTATTAAATACTCCAGAGAGGCGCCGGCGCGATTTTAATGCTAAGCCATTCAGTGACCAAGCAAAGCTAAATCAAGTGGATACATACCATCTACATCACGAACTTGTGTGAAACGCCCTTGAATTTCAAATTCCGGGTCGATGTTCCACTTGAGAAGCGTATACTCTCCTTTAGCATTGAACGTATACTCCGTACCATCGAAGGTTACAAAATGAGGATCGCCATAAACAGAAGCTGTGCAGAAAAAAATAAATAAGACACTGATTGTATGGATATGCGAAATATTAGTTACTATTGGTTAATGCCACTGGGTTACCAACAATTAAAAAAAGGTCACGTGACAATTTTTCGAATTTGACATTTTTGCACTTGTTTATTTAGTGGAAAATATCTCTTCATTTTTTCTAAAAAATCATACATTTTTACTGATAGGATTCCTTATATGACATTTAATTTAGTAAGTTTGACTGTGATAATAATGTTTTAAATAAATATATTCTTATTAACTGGATACTTCTTAGACCGCGCGACGGGAGCGCCGAGCTTGTGATGCATAAAGGTGTTATCAAATAACTTATACATGTAGGTGTAATAACAGTTTTACCACGGCGTTACCGCAAACACAGGAGATAATTTAAAATAACGCGTTTTGTTTTTGTAGCGGGCGATAAGAGGTACGGTATATGATAATCTATTATAAAAAAAACGGGAAGTTGCCCCCCACCCCCATAATACGTATGCCTAGTAACATGCCGAGGCTCATTATTTGAAGACGACGCGATTTGCCTCGTTTGAGAGCACTCGGCCCATAAAAAAGGTGAAATATATATCAGAATTTTTCGTTTCAAAATTGTTACGTATTTGTTCATTTGGACACAATTCTGCAAGTATTTTCGAAGTATTCGACGCCTAATTTTGACATTGATCTATGAAAACAAAAAGTTCATAAGCAAATCATTCGATTTTTTTTTTCGGCCGAGGTTCGGGATACACCTTTCACACATTACGCGAGAACTCGCAGTAGAGGGAAATCACCTATTACACTTCTCGTCTATACTGTGTTGTACGCGGTATGTACTTGCTTACCTGGCCTAGCTGGAGTGTACTCCCAACAATCAGCAGTAGGTCTAGATTGCTGGTAATATCCACAGTTTTCTGACCAGATGCAACACTCGTAGAAATACAGGAAATCCGCCTTGTACCAGGACAGAGCAGGGACCCTTCCTGCTTGGTTGTAAGGTCTCTGGCCCCATATGTGGGCCTCCGACGAGTAACCTCCGACTGGGTCATCGCCAACATAGATGAGATGTTCCTCCCAGTCGTAACAACAAGTAGAACCGGAACCTCGGTGACTGAACAAGAAAGAGTACACAAATTACCAAGATGTAAGACTGGCGGGTTTGCACACAAAAGAATCGATAACTACAATTGGATATGATTTCTTTTTGTCCACAAATGATTAAAAAATGTTACGTTTAAAGGGTGGTGGTCGTCGCTCCGCGTGCTGATCGATATGAGACTCATAGCGATGTTCACAGCGATACATTATTTTATTTGTTACGAACACGCACTGCGTGACGGCCACCGCCCTTTAAAGCGCGGTAGTCGTCGCGCTGCGCATGTGCCACATTTGTGTTGATAAACATTGATTTTCCCACAATCCAATGCGCTCTTCAAATGGAAATCACAAGTATAAGGTTTGACCTTGGCGCGACTTGCACTGATTACCACCGGTGACTCCCTCGACACCTTCCAATAACATGAATATTACTTA